CGGTGTCCGAAATGGGTGAAGACTTGAGACCGTTCTCTTTTCTTCTGTGGCGCATCGCTCTATACCGCATCAGAAGAGGCGTATGATTGAGGGAGGTACGAGTGACTTCCTGCCCTACCTGTTGTCGCCGAACTGTGCCTTCTGAATACGATGCAATACTACCTCTTCTTCCGCACCTGGCAGAAAGACCACTGAAATTTGTCGTAGACATCCTCTGTTAGCATTTGAAAACTTAATATAGTTGGTTTGAGTTTCGTTTACTGGTAGTATTCCTGCGTTTTAAGGGTTGTCAGATATTAAAAGTATCTTGATCCTACCCTTGCGCGACAACAGCTACTGAAATGCAAGGCATTTCGTTGCTGTAAAATCTGGTTTGAAAGAGAAGAAATGAAACAACACCATCTATTCAGCGTGCGCCTGGCAGGCCAAAGGCTCAAGCGAAGCGGTACACGTCTGTGTGGTCTCATTACGTTCCATCTGTGAAGCCTGTTCTCGGGAACATTTACTACAGTGACGGTGAGTAAAGACGAGTTATTTTTTTTCTTTTCTCTTTGGAACGGATATGCTTCCTTTTGCTGGGTGATGAAGCTCTCGACAACGAGACGTGAGAGCGAAGATCTTTAGAATTGCACTAACCATGTCTCTTAGTAAGAGCATATTGAAAGATTAGCTTTCGCGATCTTTATTAAGAGTACGCCACGAATTTGCTCCTAATACGGTATCGAACAGGTTTTTATGTTTATTTTCTATGCTGACCAAGGATTTGTTTGCTCGAACCAGTAGACGTTTAAATTAGTGAATCTGTTTCCGCAGTGTCGTCTGACACCAGCTGTGGTCCGCAGCGACAAAGACTCGCCTCGCGTTCAAAAATGGTCAGTTTTGCGGCTCAATTGACCAGAATGGCGAATAACTTGAAAATGAAGTAAAAAGAGAAAAAAGCAAGTCTGAAATGTATAATCTAAAACTCCATGCCGAACCGCGTTCATTAGGCGAAGAAAAAACGTGCTCGGACGAACGTTCACTTGTTGCAGCAAGCTCTTTCCCCTTGTCATCTCATTCTCACCATTCGAAATGGATAGAGCTAGTAGCGGAACGACCACGGCACCTTTAGAAAAGAAGTTTGGGCGTTGCCGTGGCTAGTGGTCGAAGCCATGGCGCCGTACCGAGCGGATTGCGCTTTACTCACGTAGTGCGGCGAAAGTAGTCTTCGTGGTCGTGGGCAGGGCTGCATCGCCCAAGGAAGGCGTTAGAACATTAAATGAGTGTGGAGCGTGCTTTTAAATGACCACTTTGGTTTGGTTTGGTTTGGTGGATCCCGTCTCCTGGGACAGAATGTTTACGGCTCGCTTCTGCGATAGCCTTGTACTCACTTATGGTCGAAAATGTTTTAATTTTGGTGAATTATAAAAAATTTACCCTCCGAAGTCTACTGGAAACATTCAGGCACTGTGGAAAAGCTTGGTGTGTCCGTGAATGCGGTGATGGATCGTTTGTTAGCTGAAGTATGTCAGGATGGCATTGCACGGCACTCGGCTATCATCAACAAACGAGAGAAGAGAAAAAGGTTCTGTGACTTTTGTTTTAGGGACGAAGGGCCTTGCCGTTGTCAAAATGTGGTACTAAGAAGTATTAGAGACTGTGCCTTTCGCAGAACTATTGAAAAAGTTCTTATTATCGTATTGTCAGAAATATGGAAAAAGCGCGTGAACGTGTGCATCGTTTGAAGGAAGAAAGGGCTGCTCGTCTTGCACAAGGATTTGTTCCCGCGTCAACGAAAGCGCAAAGGTACTCTTTTAAGACTTCGAAGTCATTTCTTTTTTGAATGTCAATCCCGTTTTCCAGTACTGCATCGAATCAGCAAAGTGAAGCAGGTCCACGGGTTCGTAATGCCAAACACCGGTTGATGCAAAAGGACTTCTTGTATCCATCACTGAAGCGTGGAACGAAAGCTGAGCAGCGAAAGGTACGTTTTCATTTCACACGTTTACATGCGGTGAATGCTGCCGAGGGAATAATTATGACCTCTCTCTTTCCTTCCTTTGTGGGTTTGGTCAGCGTAAGCAGGCCTTTTGAAGCTTAAAGGCAGTTGGCACGATAAATCCCCAAGACGACTAGGATCAATACTCCTGGCAGGATAGAATTCCGCGACCCTGGGCAGGCGCTGCATAGCGGTTTCCCCGAGGAAGGTGCCCTTATAAGGGCCCTATCAAGCCACAACTTTACGTCCCAACGCCCGCCACGCCCGCCCGCCCACAAATGGACGACCGTTCCTGACGCTCTAATCGATTCATTTGCTAAGCAAATTATGAAGCGAAGGGATTGGTATGAAGCGGCCGTGATGCTGCATGCATATATGGGTACACATATGCAGCCGTATCTTCGGTAGCGGTGATTGGTAAGATGCCTACGGGAAACTCGTCCGAAATCGATTTACAAGTCACTGAGAACGGAGGCTTTTCTTCGCAGGATTTTGACCGTTTCACTCCGTTCTTTCGCCATTTCCCCACTATACAGCCCTACTAGCATTTAGGCTAAGTAGGAAACCATCGTGCCAACTGCCTTTAAGACAACATGCGTACTGTCTCAAACAGGCATTAGCGGTGAATGAGACTAACAGCCCCAGCTGTCGATGTGTCGTGGTTTCCCCGCCTGAAACTGCACGGGGGTCCGAGTACGGGACCGTGGGAAAGGCTTATTCCTTGCTACACCGCCCAAAATGCAACTTGCGCGCGGCGAAATGCAACTTGCGCGCGGTGCATTTTGGGCGGTGTAGCAAGGAATAAGCCTTTCCCACGGTCCCGTACTCGGACCCCCGTGCAGTTTCGGGCGGGGAAACCACGACACATCGACAGCTGGGGGCTGTTAGTCTCATACACCCTTAATGTGTTTGAGCGTACCATGTGTCTTTAACCTTCGCAGGTCCGGAGCAGGGATGATCACTATTTACCCCATTCCCATTCCAGAATAAGGAAATCCGTCAACAACGCTCTCGCAATGTAATGAATCAGCTAGCAGAATCGACTCGAGAGAAAGAAACTACTCCAGCATCTCGACGTGGATCTGCAACTGCTGCAAGTAAGTGCCAAGATGTTCCATACCAACATTGCCACTCATGCCGGTTTTCAGAGATCAGACCGCGCGCACCGTCACCTTTCGACCCGGAAAAAGAAGAGCGCCTTCGACGGGAAGCAGAGCAACGAGAAAAGCAAAAGAGGCTTACTATGCCGGTTTGTATTTCAAGTCATGTACGAAATTCCTGAAGTTGCTAGAAGTAGCTGTATTGACGTCTTATGCTCTATCACCGTCTCGGGTTAATTCGAGTGTATAGGTATAGACTAAGAAACCTTATATTGTAACCCACTTGAATAACGTTCGTACTACAAGACTTGAGCTATTTGGTCGGGCAGCTGCGATCAACAGCGTCTCCCAGGTAGTCGTTTGACCACTACAAAGTTCGAAATTATCAGCTTCAGCGGTCCGAGACATCCGCGCGATTCCGAAAATGGGCGACTTTCGAGTAGCAGGATATGAACGCGGCCCGGGGCAAGCTACACGTTGGGTAATGCCCAACGGGATTCGTATTTCACGCGGGATAAATTGTTTCTAACTGTCCATTTTTCCTGTTTCACGTGCGTTATATACCCTCCCAAGTTTTCTGCGAAAGTTTGGTAAAATGTTCAGACGGTTTTAAAAGGGGATCGAACCAAGAGAGAAATTTTCGTATTAGCAGAAATGTGCCCACACCCCAAGCCGTGCCCTGCTTGAGCAGGCGTTAAAGCAAAATGCCATAAGAGTCGCATTCCATGCTTATCTCATGGGTAAAGATAAGGAGCCGCCTATCGTATCACTACTACCCGTTCTCGCTAGACTAGGGGGCGTCCACGTTGTGCCGAGAGCGGCGAAAGTTGCTTTGCAAATAGTCCCACGTGTGCTGCCAGCACCTGTTTTATTCAATCTTACTATCCCGAAGTGTGTCAGGTTATCTGGCCAGTACCCACTGGACTAGGTTTTGCGCGTCGCGGCAGTGTGATTGTATCGAACTACCAAACACGCTTGCCTGGGCCAACACGACCCTCTATCTCCAAGGCCGGTAAATTGGCACTGGACCCGTGGGTAAGATCATAGATTGACTTGTACGTCGACTTGCCATATCGCGCTGAAAAGCCGTGATACTGTAGAACAAGAATTCGTGCAGCATCCAGAATAGAGGTTTATCCGTGCGTGAACTTGATCCTTTTTTTCTATCTACTTATCTGTTTGCTGTGGCATATCAGCGCACATTGTATAGGGTTGTTTCAGATATCCTTCAACACTTTCCTTTCATCGAAGAGTTCCATGCTCACAGCTCAACCACTTTTGCAACCACAACGTTCGAGCGATCGCACGACTGCCCCCGATCACTTTTATCGAGAACTGCTATGTGAATCCAACACTGCGGTTGAACCTGCTGAGGATACGTGAGTTGCTTATGGTATTCTCGATAATAAGAATCAAAAACAAGATTCATGCCGTCTTACCCATTAACGAGACATTCACAGTGGCCGGGAGGAGCGCCTCATATAAAAAAGGGTGCAGTTTGGCTGGTGAGTAGCACTCAGCGAAGCCCGCATAGACTTCCTTCTGGAGACTTGTAAATTCTTGAACCAGAGCGTCTCACGCATACCATTCCGCAGCTTCAGAAGAGTTTACAGGCTTCACTTAAAGGCAGTTGGCACGATAATTTGGGTCTAAAATGCTAGTAGGGCGCTATATAGTGGGGAAATGGCGAAAGAACGGAGTGAAACGGTCAAAATCCTGCGAAGAAAAGCCTTCGTTCTCAGTGACTAAAAATCAA